AACTTACAAAGACCTTCCTTATTACTTGGGCTTTCTGGCCGTGCAGTATTTTACTTGGGTTGTTGCTGAAGAGTCTCTCACTTTTTTGATTCCTGAACTCACAGACCTTAATTGCCTGGACCTGAGTCTGACTGAGCTACAACCTGATACTCCTGGTGCTTTCAGCCTCAGTGTGACCTGTGCGGGGCTGAATGAACACAACTCTGACTCTGCAACTTCACACATAGGGGACGCCTCTCCCCGGAGCCGTCAACAGTGAAATCAGCGACTGCATGTTGTTCTGTGGTAGGCCTCCCTGAAATCCAGCTGCTGATAGTGACTAACAGCACCCTGAACTTGTGATTACACACTGCCTACAGCTGCAGGCTGGGAGAGGGTACATCTCAGGGACTGTGATCCCCTACTTACTCTGGGCAGACTGACCTGATTTCCTCTGGAGCTGACTCCTGTATTTGCTTTCCCAATTAGTCTGCAATAATGGACTGACAACTCAACTTCGCTTTTCTTAGGTTCCATGCACCTCAGTGAAATCTGATTAAGTGTGGTCTTCCTTACAAACGGATTGGACTTTTCTAGGCTGCTCGCTAGATAAATGATCAAGGTGAAATAAGTGGGAGAGAATATGCAAACCCTATTTTGAAAGTTTCTGAAAATTTGGGATTTTGTTCTGATCAATTTTGGAACATGGTGTCTTACTGGTGAGGCTGTGTAAAAATGTTTTTCTCTGAAGATGTTTTGCCAATGCTAACCCTTCCTACCAGATAAGAGAATGAACGAAAAATGTAAAATTGTAAGTTTAGAATGGAAACACTGATTTTTGCAACAATTAAGGAAATAAACTGATGCCTGTACATCTGGGGAAGAGGAAGCAGAGAGGGCATCAGTGATCTCTGATTTTCGAAACTGTTTTTGGAAGCTTCTACCTCTTCCTAAAGGAAACCTCGGAGTAAGCCTTTGCAAGCTGCTGAGAATGACTGAATTCACATTGCTGACCGTATGGTCACCTGACAGGGCTGACTGTGCCCCAGCACGAGGTGGCCCAGCCCCTACTTCCACGCAGAAAACCTGCAGATGTTCAAACTCGTGAGGTAAATGCACAGGTCATGGACAGCAAAATCATTTGGAACCAACTGACAGTCCTGAAGCCAAGGACTGGACTAAATTATTTGGGCTGGATTAGGAAGCAAAGAACAAGCTGCTCATGGTAGGCGGCCACACGGTTTCAGCTAGTGCATGTCCTTTTTGTTTCCAGGACTATCATGTGTACTTTCTGGGATAGAACTCTCATGACACTGTCTCAGTCTTGGAATGCTTGCTGGTCAGCTTCAACTTATTGGCCACAATGATGTTATACCTGAATTGATGCTCTGGGCAAAAAACTTAAGGAGAAAGCCACCTGGCTTTCTAGGATAGACCTATTATGATTAGTAAGATTTGCTTTAACTGCCTTCAGTACTGGACTGCTAAGGGCTCCAAATGAAACAATACAGCAGGATGGCCTCATTACTCTGCAGTCTACTGATAATACTTTTGCCGTAAAGATGCTTTGGCCAGTGCCAACGGGATAGCCTGGGTGGTGAAGAGTTAACACAGCAGGCCTAAACTTGTGTCTCGGAAAAGGCCTGCTTGCAAGCCTGCCTTTGCTGGCACCTGTGAGATTACATTTCTGGTGAGTTCCCACAGTCCTGATAACAGTGGTTCACCCAAACTGTACAAACAATTGGTTTATGCTGAACACCTGCTTTTCTTCTCAGAGACTGCAATTTGGGTATGTGTCAGGCACAGGGTGCCAACTTAATGAGCCCTCACTAAAAATCTCACGTATGGGGTTTCTGGTAAGCTTCCTTGGAAAAGATGTGACATGTATTGTAAGCTGTTGCTTTGGAAATTAAACGTGTCCTCTGACTCCCTTATGACAGGACCCTTTCAATTTTGCATATGGTTCCCTTTAGATTTCACCCTTAGCACCCTTTCTTTGCTGGTTTTGTTTTGTATGCTTTTATTATAGTAAATCATAGCTGTGAATACAACCACATGCTGAGCCCTTTGAGTCTTCCCAGAGAATGATGGAAACTGGGGCTGTGGTCTTGGGGATCTCTAGCACCGTCGAGAATAAGTACAAAATATTCAAGAAAAAGAAGGCAGGTACAGGTGAAGTCACGTGAGTGGAGTGGCAGAGGATGAAGGTGGAGGGAGAGACAGAGCCTGAACAGGCAAGGCCTTGTTAGTAAAGGTAAAGGGTTTGGATTCTGAGTGCCACAGGAAGCCACAGGAGGCTTCTGGGCAGAAGGGAGAATGAGTCAGGCTTCTGTCAGAGCTGAAAAGAAGGAAGAAGAGTGCAGATCGGAAGCTGAGTAGGAAGCTCCTCGGTATAGGAAGTTCTTCAGTTGCCCCTGAGTTCTTTAGAAGAGAACCCCAAGTAACAAATACAGGAGGAATGGTAGAATTGCAAAGTCACCATTTTGCAAACAAAAATGAAACAAAGGGTCTAGAAGATAAACATAAACAGTTGCCAAAACTGCTAGGCAATAGGTCAATGAGCAACTCTGGAATGGCTGGATTGGGCTGACACCATCTGATTCCACTGAAAAAATTCTTAATGTCACTAAAAGTGGGACAATCAGATACTATCTGCTTCCCAATGTAATGCAATATGAAGTATACAACACCATCTAGGAAGTAACTCTCAATAAAAAGATAGAACCAGATCTACCCATGCTTTCAGAGCTAACATCCCATTTACAGAAGATACAGTAAATAGTGGAGGAAGTTAAATAACACTGCAAGAAAACAATTAGCTCGACACAAAACACGGGAAAATGTACAGCAAAAAGGTGACTGTTTCCTTAACAAATAAAATGACATTTAAAAGGACAGGAAAACTATTACAGAGTAGGAGAAACTGCAGCTCTTAGCTTGGGTACTGAATTAACTAAATCATTATAAAAAATACCTCGAGCAGGTGGGAAAACCAGACAGCCTGGGTATTAAATGATAAAAGAGTAAAAGCTAATTTTATGATTGTGTTGAAAAAATTCTGGTCAAAAAACACGTAGCATGTGCTTTAAAATACTCTAGGAGAGGAAAGGAGGGTAAGATTGTGTGGTGTAAAGATGAAACAAAAACAGCAGAATGCTGACAGCTGCTCAAGTTGGGTGACTGAGATATCTTCTACTTTTATGAGTGTTTAAAATCTTCATTAAAAAATAAAAAGGAATGGATTAAACTAAAAGACTTAGAAAGATTTTCAAATAGTTAAGACACACTGGGCCAAGGTATGGGAAGAGTCTCAAAGAAAGTAAACAGAATTATTTTTCGGAAGAATGATGTAATGATACATATCAAATGTCTTACACTAAATTTACACTCCATTCCAGAAAATTTACTTTTAAGAATTCTAAAAAATTTTCGAAGATGTACACGAAGATACATTTAAAAGGATTTCCCAGGAAAACACTGTAAATAGCCCATGTCTATGTTATGGCAAATTTACACAACTTTTTATAGCCATTAACCATTAAATTATAAAAGAAAAATAGAGAAATGTTCACAGTAAACTGGTAAGTGCAAAATGCAGGAGGTAAAACAGTATATATGTTTTGCCCCAGTTTAGATTTCTTTTTTTCTTTCCCTTTTATCTTTTCTTATGGTACTAAGGATTGACCCAGGGCCTCTGCACTGAACTACATTCCCAGACAGGTACATATCTATATACGGTTTTGTTTTGTTTGTTGAGACAGGGTCTTGCTATGTAGTTGAGGCTGGCTCTGAACTTACCATGTAGCCCAGGCTGTCCTTGAAGATGATCCTCCTACCTCAGCCTCCCGAGTGCTAGGATTACAGATGTGTGCCACCACACCTGGCTCTCAGGTTTATATTTTTAATTTTGAGACAGGGTCACACTAACTCACTAAACTGCCCCAGCTGAGCTTGAATGCACAATCCTCTTGCCTCGGTCTCCTGGAGTTCTAGGATTATGGGTGTACACCTGGTGCCTAGCCCCAAATTAGTTTTCTTAAAATTAGTTATTTATCTAGAAAAAAGCCTAGAATGAGTATTCTTCATGATGTTAATAGTTATTATTTTTAGTTGATGGGATTAAATTACTTATAGTTTTTTAATGATCGTTTTTCTATGCACACGTATGGTACATTTGCTGTAAAAACTTTGAAGATGTAAACATTCAAGTCTGGATCAATTTCTATGTTGTTAATAATGAAATAGTAAGTGGCCATGGTGGTGATCTTTAAAATAATACATTGAATGATGTTACAGTGTCAGGAAAAGGAAGAATAGATATATTAACATATTTTTTTAAAGGATGGCCTTTTGGTACACTATTGTGAGAAAGATCAACTTTTAAATTTAAAAGAAGTGTCAAGAAGGAGAATTACAAAGGGATTAAAGTTTGTACATTTACATAAGTTTCAAATGGAGAGATATAAAACAACTAAATTGAATTACAATGATGATTAAACAAGTTATTGTGATGAAACACCTAACATAATTCTGAAAATGTCCAAAGTGGCATGTTAGAAAATCCTTTCTGTGCTTCTACTTTGTGTACTACTGACAAATTATTTTTAAAGATTTCTCAGAAAGGTGACATACTGGTACCCAACTAGAAATGTTAGGGTATTAATATAGCCCATGTACAGTCTTTTTTTGTTTGTTTTTTTGTTTTTTTTTCTGGTACCGGGAATCGAACTCACAACCTTGCACTTGCCAGGCAGGCGCTGTGCCGCTGAGCTAAATCCCCAGCCCCCCATGTACAGTCTTATCTAGCTAATTCAGCTCATATAGTGTGGGTTAAATCTGAGAGGTAAATATTAAAATATAGGGGAACCCATAAAACTCAATTCTACACAATTACATGTAGTTAATAATCAGTAAAATCAGTCTTCCTCAACATATGCAACAATCTTCTACACTCACTAGCTCTAAAATTTCAGTAGTCTCCGTCCTACATTAGGCAAAAGCAAAGAAAACGTCCAGACTACCTGGTTTCCGTATTTTCCTTGGTTCGTCATAGTCTTTTTCTGGATTTGGAGAGTCCAGAAAACTGATTTCTTCTGTGGCACCTTCCCCTTCCTGGTTCTTCAGGCTGTCCTCCTCTTCTTGAACGGGAGATTCCAATTCTGATTCTTCTGCATCAACAAATATCTGACCAGCAACTACTCTACCTGTGATGGTCTGGTCCTTTACTGATTCGTCTGGTGGCAAAGAAGTCTGAGAATATAAAGTATTTTTAGTTATCCACAGTACCAAGATTCCCTCCAACCCAATCTGACCATACCTTCTACTAAGCCAGCTGTCTCCTTCAGCTCCTTGGAGTTATACTCCCTCATCTCTACAGAGTTTAGTTTGTGTAAACCACATGTCTTTATCCTATTGAATTCTTTTTGAATTTCAACTTAGATGTTACTTTAACCAGGAAGTCTTCTTTCATCCCCAGTGTCTGGGTTAGGTTCTCCCTCTCTACATGATTCAATCCCTATGATAACTCTGTTACTATAACTCCCTGTCTCTATCTGTATTCCTGCTAACCCAGACATTATAGCTTGTAACTAGGCAATCTCTTGGCATATGTAAGAATCAGCCTCATTTATTCATGCAACCAACAGATGCATTAACTCTTTAGAATACTTTTTGATAATGTATCTAAATAGAAATAAATGGCAGAGTCTTCAAAAGTTGGAGATTAAACTCAGGCTCTCATTGACTCAGCCAATATACTCATGGAAATATTTGCTATTCTCTCTTTTTTAAAAAAATTTTGTTTTTGTTTTTTGCTATTCTCTCTTATCCGTGAGTGATTTCTTTTTCTTTTTTACCCAGAAGGATTTGTTTAAAAAAATTCAATTGTCACTCAAAAGATACAGATTTCAGGGCTGGGGATTTAGCTCAGTGGCACAGTGCCTGCCTGGCAAGCACAAGGTTGTGAGTTTGATCCCTGGTACCGGAGGAATAAAAAAAAAAAAAGATACAGATTTCATATCCTTTCTAAGGTACACCATTCCTGCCTTTTAAATTGGGCAGTAAATACCAGCCATTGCAAATTTTAATACACACCTTGGAATCTAAAGATTCATCCTGGTTGCCTTCTTCATCTGCAAAGAAATTTTAAGATAATTTAGTCATCTTTTTGTTGGGAAATTACAAACGTTATTAAAAGAAAGCATCTAATAGGCACAACCACAAATAAGACACTAAACCTAGAATAACAAAAACTGGTTGTATTCAGCAACTATTCACAAAAGATTAAGTGAAAAAAAATGGGTTCAGGTGGCAGATTTTCTCCAGGTAGGAAGACCAATTACCCCCTCTGCCAAAGACATTTGGATTCCAGCCAATTTTTTCTGTATATACTTAGTCTACCACTGACAATGAGTTACTAAGTTCATACAAATATACCTTTAATTTCATACTTCTGCTTCTACCTTTGCTGTCCCTTTGGCCAGGATCTAGAGTTACATTAGTTTATCTTATTGCTAATTAACATTTTACTATTTAAAAACACTATTAATTAATATAATGTAATAAGTATTACTATTTGTCAGCAGACTTACCAGGCAAATAAACTTAGCATTTGTGCTCTACTTTACTTAAGGGCTAACCCGATACAGGTAAAAAGTAGCATCATATTATGTTTTCATTCACATGAAAGCTATTTATTAAGAGATCAATAGTCCATGTTAAATGATGAATACAGCCACTAATTACACCTTTCTTCCAAATTCATACAGGTTAGTTTGGTTTTGATGAATTATGTAATTTTTCTTTTATTATTCTTTCCATATCTTCTGGCTATTATAGCTACTCAGGCTGCTTATTCTTTCTTGTTTGCTCTTACATAAACACACTCACCAACTCAATGTCCAGTCACAAATATTTGATCTTTGTATTCACTGCCAGTTTAAAAAAAAAAAAAGTCAAACAAATTGTGAGATTATTTCTAAGACGGTCTCTAAGTTTCTTCTTGCTCTTAAAACTATCTGAGTTTATACAGGAGCAAGTGTCAATTATGCCTGCTCTGTCAGCTCTAAGAGAAATTAACCAGTAGGTAAAGTGCTGTAAGGCCCGGTGACTTTTACCTGAAAATGCAGCATTGTCTTACTTCATACAAATATGGTTAGGTCCTAAACATTATTTAGAACTTGTAACTCTTTACAGTAAAAACATGTTTTGGAATTTGTTATCAAAGTATTAAACTAAGAAGTACAATCAACTCATGCACAAAATATACTCTTATTTCACAAAATTTGAGTATCTAAGAAAATCAGTCTATCAGTGAAGTTTTGCCATATATGAAGCTAATGTCAATTTAAAGAAAATTTTAATTTAAAGCTACTGCTCACATTCACATATTTTTAGACTGCCTTCAAAGTATGTTTTATTTTGGGCAGGAGAGGAATAGTTCATATATCGGTCCCACAGTGCCCACACGTTTAGGTAGCGTTGTAATAGCATTCACCCTGTCCAGTAACTTCTTCACAAATATCACCCAAAGCCCAAGTTCTAATAGATGGTTCAAGCCCCATTCTCAGCAAATTTTGGACAAAGGAAAAAATTCATTTCTATTATGTTGCAAAGTTCTTTGCACATAGTTAACTAACCCCAATTTTCAATTAGTTAATATAGCAAGAGCAGACATGAAGAGTGCAGATGTATATGACATATCCCCAAACACTGAACTTCGGAGTAGCTGAGACTCTAGTCACTAATGACTACATCTAGTACTTCAACGCCTGGTAGCTAACATGAAAATAATGTACACAATATATAAATACATTTAAAGACATACATGTTTCAAAGAGTACAAGCCTTAACGCACAAGAAAAGCAAAATGTATTTTTGAACTCCAGGAAGCGTGATTTGTGACATCAGGATTATTTCATGTGAATTGCATCATGCTTCTTTCTTAACAAACTAGGAATATGTACTAAGATTACTGGTAAACAAGCATTCTTTTTCAGTTACTAAACTGGGAAAACCTACTCCAGATGGTAGTCTTACAGCATAAGCTTTTTTCTATTTCAGACTGATATCCACGTTCTCGTAGCACTTTTTAAAAGGTTGCTTATGACCAAAGCACTTCTGACATGTAGGATTTTGGTAAAGATTAAAGACACTGAAGTTATGCACAAAGAAAAAGTAAATAGTGCTTTCACCAGAACACAGACATCAAGCAAGAAGAATGCAAAGGGATTCAACAGTTACAGATTTCTTACACTTCAGTATCACACCTAAAATATAACTGTCCACAACATTGCATTAACTGTACAGCTTCCTTTGAAAAAGGTCAGTTTTCATTTGTATTATATCAGGCAACAAAACTACAAAATACTAGGCCTCTTTTTTCAAGGACAAAGAGTTATGACAAATTCATTTTACCACCTGGCACATAAATTTAACAGACTGATCCACCTTCAAACACACAAAGTCTGTAAAGAGTCTGATGAAAAGGGACTAGATATCCCACCTTCTGCACTGCCATTCTGTTTAGGATCTATGCAGCTCCTACTGATTCTACGTTATTCCAACTCTGAGGCCTGGGGAGCGGAGTGTGAGACCGGGCTTCACCACAGGTTAATTTGAACACTTCTGACTCAATACTGAACGCTTGCTCAGCCTTCATTTTCTCAGTCTATCAAAAAGGAATAATCCCATCGGACCTGTGAGTTCACAATGATGTAAGGAACTAAAACACCGCAGTTACACACCCTCTGCAGTCCAAAAAGTAAACCGTTTGCTTCTTTCTGCCCAAAACAATAAAGCATTTATTATTTTCATTTTGGTGTGCAGAATTGAACCCAGGGTTCCTGCAGGCTCAGTGCATGCTCTACCACTGAGTTACGCCCTCAGCTCCCAAGAAAGCATATATTTTTAAGTGAGAAAAAATTACTCCCTTTTCATTATTAAGAAAATGACAGAGAAATACCTTTTTAATCTCCTTGAAATTTACTCACAGGGAAAAGAAAACAATTCTAATGTATCCTACCTAGTTTTTCCAATTCTAAAACAGGGTACTAGACAATAGCTACTCACAGCAATAAGATCAGTATTTTCTTTGTTGGCTAAAGATATTCTACCTGGTTACAAATGCAACTTGCCCTGGGTAACAGCTAACACGGACACACAAAATTACCCCCAAAAACTTGACTTTTATATAGGGGCAAAGCTTTAAATTTTTCAAATGAGGCTGGAAGAGGCTGGGGATTTAGCTCAACGGCAAAGCGTCTGCCTGGCAAGCGCAAGGTCGTGAGTTCGGTTCCCGGTACCGGAGAAAAACAAAAAAACAAAAAACAAAAAAAACAAAAATCAAGTGAGGCTGGAATCCTGTGTAAATAAGCATTCTATTGAATGAGAAACCCAACTGAAAAATGTAAGCACTTAATTTACAGAACTTTATAGTCTGTGTGAACTTCAGGTGATGTTGGTACAGTTGTCAGAGGATTGGTTCTAGGACTCTCCATCCTCCAACCCCAGGACACCAAACCTGATGCCAAAGTTTCTTTTACAAAATGGAGCACTTTACATATAACCTAATTACTTGTATCACCTAATACAGTGTAATGCCATGTAAGCAGCTGTTACACTGGATTGCTTAAGAAGTAACAAGAAAGGACTCTACACATAATCAGCACAAACACTATTTTTTCCTCTGAGTGTTTTCCAGCTTTGGTTGGTTAAATCCACTTATGTGACCTGCAAGATTCACCACCTCTCAGCTTGTGTATCTATCTTCTTTTAATTCAGGCTGAGTTTTGGCACTTACTAGGGAAATGCTTTGGAACACTTTTTACTCTGATGGAAATCAGAGCAAATATTTCCTGAATAGTCTCCTTGTATCACTACACCAACAAGATTTAACACTTTGGTATGAATAGCTTTGTATCACAACATCCTGACAATCCTAACTGTAGATCTTCAAGAATCACCTCCTTACATGGAGCTCTAAGTTCATGGACTCATCAAAGGAAGATGTAGGAAAATTTGTAGACCTTTTTAAACCGCACAACTGAATTCTGATGAAATACACATCATGTTCTTAGTTACTGTAGTTTTCAAACTTTAGTATGAAGAACCACTTACAGAACTTGTTCATATAGATACCTGACCTATTCCAGACCTAAAACAGTTTTTAACAAGCTCCTAAGAGGAATTCTGTTGCAGGTGGTCCGCGGTTCATCAGGCACATTACGCACTAAACTCAACAGCTCCGTCTCACACTTCTTTCGATTGAACAACTGTTAGAAGCACTTCAAGAGTTATATACTAAACAGTCTCTAAAGATTTGGTCATAAACACACACTACCACTACAACTGGAGTGAAATGGATCTCACAGCGTGATGCTGGCAGTAATTAGCATATGCTTTTTGCTTTTGAGATGGTATGTCAAACCACATCGCGAACAGAAATTTGGTTCAGGTCTCTCAATTTAGAAGCAGGATGACGTTATGGCATTGATTTACAACTAGGACAGATAATTTGGGAATTCAAATAACCATCTGGGAAATTTTCTGTTGAAAAAAAGTGACATTTATATTCTGCCTCGTCCCCCCAAATTTAAAGCTGCAGAACATCTGCCTTGTTAAATGAAGCTGATTAAAATTTCAAAGCTTCACTGTGCTGTTTATTGACTCCAAGAAACACTATTTTTTTTCAAAAATTAACACTCAGAATAGAAGTTTTCTGATGGAAGCAAATCAAAACATTAAAAAAGAAAAAAAATTTACAACCAGAAAATCAATTCAAGAGCATATGAAGTTTTGTATCTACATCAAAAGGCGAACACTTTGAGATTTAGGGTTTTTTTTTTTTTGTCTTTTTTGAGACAGGGTCTGGCTATGCAGTTCAGGCTGGCCTTGAGCTCACTTTGTAGCCCAGGCTGGTCTGGAACTCGCAATGATCCTCCTGCCTCAGCCTCCGGAGTGCTGGGGTTACAGGCGTGGGCCACCACGCCCGGCTACTTGCGATTTAGTTCGTAAGAATCTTTCTCAGAAGTCATAAAACCACTGTCGATAAACACGGGCAAGTCGGAAACACTGTGACAGACGTCACCTCTCTTTTAAGAAGTTTCTGAGAGGGGAGGCGTCTTCGTTTCTAAACAATGAGACTAGGGGGCAGCGCGGGTGCTAAGCAGGTCCACGGGGCCACTCTCCACGTCTCGGCTTGACGGGCCCTGCTCCGCCTGAAGTGACAGCTCCCAACGCGGCGATTGCAAACCCCAAGCCCAAAGTCCACATCGCAGGCGCGCACGACCCACGCGAGGGCCGGGGAAAGGCAGCAGGCTCCGGGGGCCGAGCGGGTCTGAGCCGGCCGTCGGGGTCCGGCCCGCGGAGCCCCCCGGCCGCGTGGAGTCTGCTGCGTGGAGAGCCGTGGGCGGGGAGGCTGCCCTCCCCGCCCCGCCTCCAGCGCCCCGACAGCCCCACGGGCCCGGGCACCGAAGCCCAGGGAGGGCAAGTGACAGGCCGGGCGAGGGGCGACGCGCGAGCGCAGCCCCGGCCGGGACGCCAGCCCCGCAGACGGAGGCCGGGGGCGCCGGATACTGACCCGAGGACGCCGAGCCCAGCAGCACCGCACACAGCAGCAGCGTCAGCCCGACCCGGACCTGCATCCTGTTCTCGCCGCCCGCTGCCACCCGCCGTAGCTGTCGGTCGCCTTTGACTCCGCCACCACCAACTCAGCCGCCGCCGCCGCCGGACCGCCGCTCTTCCGGCTCCAGTTTCCTCCCTCCGCTCCTTCCCAGGCCTCCCTGATCCGGAGAACAGCCAATCCTCGCCCGCCGCTGGGGGCAACTCTCCCAATCGTCGTAGTTATCCCGCCCATCCACCCTTGCCCCACCCCAATGCTATCCATTGACCAATCCTTGCGCGAGATTTCCACACCTGCTTTTCCGGTTGGACCACCGCCTCACCGACATGGCCCCTGATAATTGGTAGCGCCTGAATCAGTGCGCGAGTCAAGGGCTGGGAGAAAGGATACTCACTCAGAACTACAATCCCCACAATGCACTTCTTATAATTCACTATGGGTTTGCTCTTGGGAATCGTAGTCCATTGTGGAGCAAGCTTTACACTTGTAGGTGGCTGTGTAGATGAAGAGAATATAATCAATGGCTGGGCTACAAGCAAAGGTTTTGTACCCACAGGACCTTTTTGTTTTGCTTTTGAGACAAAATAAATATCCAAGAACAAATATTAGAAGTTAAGAACTAGTAATGTGTTCAGCATCTTTTCCTACCTGTTCTATTTAGAAAATTTGAATTGAATATAGTGATGTGAGCACCGAGAAAAATGCAAGGCAGCCTGAAATTTCCCAGTATTTTAACGTAGACTTAAAATATTTAAATATCGTAAAATAACCTCCATAAAACAGTTCCGTGGTATACAAAAGCCAGAGTGCAACCAACTACCTGTCCTTTGTTCCCCATCGAAAAACAAAAAGAAATAAATTGCACTCAGTCTAGATGATCTCACCACTAGTAGGTATTTTTAATTAAGGTCATCAGATAATAATCATCTGGAAAATGTGGCAACAGCTTTTGGAAAACCCTTTCAAGCACTTGTCCTCATACCTCTTGCTTTGTCAACTGCTCTGTTGTCTTTTTCCCTGAGCAGCATTGGAAGACTAGGTGTGTATCTGTAGAGGCACAGGTGACAGCAATGGCACTGGAGAAACAGATGCGTTCTGTGACAAGCACCAGTTCAGGCACAGAACGGCTGGGCAGCAGGGCAATGACTTCTTTCATCAACTGTGTCACTCTGTTTTCGCTAGCGCACACCCACCATCAGCTGTTAGCCCTGGAGCCCAGCCAGGCCTCCTCAGGCCTACCTTGTCTCTGTGAACTCGATGTTTTGACACTTTTGGGCATTTGATTTCTGTTTTCTTTGAGAGTCTTTTTTTTTTTTTTTTTTTTAACCAGGACTGGGCATAAACCTGCCTGCTGTTTGTCGTTCACATCACAGAGGATGAAGGCAAGATATGCTTGTGAAAAATTTCTCTTTCCCACTGCACCTACCTTAGCTCATATCTCCATTTGTGACACTAACCGTGCTTCCTCAGAGCAACCGTTTCATTGACAAGGGTTTTCAGTGACCTTTTCTCGTAGAATAAAAAATATTAGAACTTCCTCTACTCACGAAATAGAAATGCATGTGGGCAGTTCCCTTCAGGGAAAGGATTGCATAAGACATAATCTGCCTTCCACACAAGAAACAGTGATTATCAGATTAGCAAAACTGGAGAAGTTCTCTGCTTAGTTAAGGCCCAACTTCTTTTTTCAATTTTGTTTTCTTATAGTCAAGGCCCTATGCTGGGTGCTGCACAGACTGATTTCCACTTCTCTTTAGCTTCTTACAGATTTCCACAGCAGCACAATCATGCCCGCCCATGGGTTCTCTGACGCTTTCCCAACCACTCTTACTTCTTCTTTGCCACAGCCCTGGTATGCTTCCCAATTTCACTTGAAATTTTTCTTGGCTGAGACTTCTCCAACCCGTCCTGTCTGCATTAATCTTGATTTCTTAGTATCTACCAGACATTTACAATCTTGCCTTTTAGACAGCTTTATAGATTTACCATGGCCAGAAACAATGATATGGTTTTATGTATAGACACAGGGCACTGAAATTGCTACCCATCAGCCCTAGATAATTCTTGTTCATTGACAGATCTACCTTACTTGCCCATTGTAATATTCAAAAGACAGATTCAGGGAAAAAGCACTTTCTGCATTGTGGAGTGTTTACAGATATTTTTATTGATTGCTTGTAAGGATGGAAATCAGTTTTATTTCTTTCATTTGGGAGGGTTTAGAGCTGTTAGAGCTTTTGTCATTAGCCAGCAGTAAGTGACTGACATGCTCTGGGAATCCTCATAAACTTCCAATCTCTAAGGCAGGTTCAAAATATGGTATGAGGACGTCAAGTTTATTTGGCCAGCCTGCTACACTGCATGATATTTAACGAGAAAATGACGATTGTGAATTCTCCATGGCCTTATCTAGTCTGAGCATATACTCCTCAAGGTTCCCTGCCAATATTCTCACTTAAGATTATCTACCCCGCGGGTACAAAATGTTAATGTTATTTATTAATTCATAGACTTTAATATTTGCTCAGCTGCATTAACTCTATGAAGTCTGTCCACATCAGTGTTTTAGGTCATTCTCAAAGATTTGCAAGGGGTGGGAAACCTGTTAGCTCTCCATTCCAACATAGAAATAGAACCTGACGGAGGGAGGTAATAGTGCCTTTCTACGCAGGTGACATTAATGTGACTTCATTTCACTGAGGTAAGTCAAGCAAGCAGCAAATGTTGAGGCCCTCCTGAAAGTGTTGAGCGCATAAAGCCAGCTTACTTTTCACTTAAATCAGTGGAACAACTCCCAAGACTTTTCCTGAGAATGGTGTGATTGCCGCTAACTCTAGGCGGCTGTTCCTTTCCTGTGCTGTCCTTAGCGATCTGTTTGAGTTGGTAATGCATACAGGCTGCCAGCATCTGTATCAAGGTATATGCCAGGGCAGGTTGAGAGAGAGAGAAGCAGGGTATTTTCCCCCTAGGCTTTAGAAAAGAATGTATTTTTTTTTATATAGCTGATGTGAACTAAAGTCATTTCTTTTTAATGCACAAGTAAGATATAAATCCTTGCATTCTACAGAGTAAGATATAAAGATGTGTACTCATTTACATTCTGAGGTTTTGGAGTAAATGAATAATATGGTTTTACATCTGATTGCATCCCTCATAATCCACATCACTCAGGACAGTGTACGGCAAGCGTAAATAAGTAATTAAAATAAATAACCTTTGGATAGCCATATCACATGCTATGATTACAATTAATGGTCATTAAGTTCAAAGTGTAGATCACAGAACTCAGAGAAGAGTTTTACTCTAAGTTTTGAAGCTGAAAGAAAATGAGAGGAGAAGAGGGCCCTAGCCCGTTTACCAAGTTGCGTTTTGAGGGGACATTTACTTTTGGGGGTGGGAGGGTATTTTTCTTTCTTTCTGAGCTGTGTTGAGCTGTGTCAGATAAAGGGAGAGCCAGGATACTTTTATATTATGAATAACTGGATGAAAATTGGAGGGTACAATCTTTTTACAGACTTTCTAAGTCTTAGCTCTGGAGAAAGACTAATTTAAAACTAAATTTTAATAGTAACTTGATGAGGTAAACTTTCTAAGATGGAGGGAAGTAGCTTGTGAATCAATCACAAACTCTAGTTTCCATTAAATTCAAAATACTGAACTCTTGAGTAGGTAGTTTAATTAGTGAACATCATATTAGGAACTTAATATTTGTAGAGTAATCAATCCTTCCTTCTTTCCCTCTCTCCTTTTGTCTCTCCCATAAATAGTTTTTGAGGACGGCCAATGCTCCCCTGCAAAGAGAACTGGGAATACACCTGTAGTTGAACACAATGGTTCTGTTACTTAATGGCGTGTGGAGGAACACATGTCCTGGGGTGTCTCAGTGAGAGGGTATTAGAAAGAAACTACAGTGGAATTTGGACTCTGGCTGGGTGATTTGTGGAGAGTCTAGAGAAGATAAGTTTGCCTTAGATTGGTTGCTATTAGAAGTGCTGTTATTGTCTATTATTTGGTAGAAGTAAATCAATAAGTCTTAAGGGAGAGGAAATTAGAATGTGGATAAAGTTATAACTGACAAAGAAGTAGTAGTCATTCATTCTGGGCCTAGGGGAGGCATTTGGTATTTTGTGGGGGCACAGGGACCTTGTTTTTGTCTGTGCTTAGAAAAGTTTATAAAATGGCCCTGCTGTGTCTCATCACATTCTCCTGTCAGAGTAACCTGTCTATGCTTTGGTGTTCTGTTAGCTTTCTGAAATCTTATGTGAGAATAACACAGTCTACTTGTGACTACAAGCAGCTTCTGAATGTCAGAGGTTGCTCTTTGTTTTTCTTTCTTAGCAGCTGCTGTGTCCTACACCCAGGTCTTGATGCTGGGGAGTCAGCAGTATATAAAATAGACAAAACTATGGTGCTCACATGCTACACAGAAGGGAGCCAGAACAAAGTGAACAATAAATTTAATATATTAGAAGATGAGAAGTGCTGTGGATGGAAGAAAAATAAAGGAGGGAAGGGGAAGAAGAATACTGGAGGAAGGTATTTAAATTTAAAATAGGGGAGCCAATTAGGCTTCCCTGGAAAGCTCACATTTATGCAAAGGTAACAAAAGAATGAGACATGATGATATATGGCTGTCTTAGTTACTTTTCTCTCCTTGCTGAGACAAAATACCCAACACCCAAGGTTAAAGGAGGAAAGGTTTATTTAGCTCACAGTTTGGAGAGGTTTCAGTCCACAGCTGGCTCCAAGGCAGGGTGGCACATGGCAGAGGGAGACAGTTCCTGGTGGTGGAAGACAGCAGAAGTGCCAAGGGTGGGGAAAGAAAGAGACAGAAGGAGGGGAAGAGAGGGAGAGGGAGAGAGAGAAAGAGAAACAGAGAGAGAAAGAGAAAGAGAAAGAGAGAGAGAGAAAAAGAGAGGGAGGGAGAGGGACGGAGGGAGGGAGAGGAGAGAGCCCTCCTTTGGTCCCTTACATTGTATGCAGGAGTCTATGGCCATAGCACCCTGAATGCACCCAATCTCACCTGATATTGTATGCAGGCTACACACACTCACACTCTTAATCCCAGTATTAGACCATAAATCAGTCACAAACTCTAGAAGCCCACCCTCATGGCTGCATGAGGCTTTGGGTGGACATCT